TATATATATTTATTTATTTATTTATTTATATTTGAAGTAAAATGAAAATAATGTGTTTCGAAGTAATGTATTTTCCGACAGTTGGCGGTGACGGAGGTGAACGACCACGGCAACCGGTGGCGGTAGCCATCAACAACGACGGTGGTCGACGGAGGGCAGCAGCCTTTGTGGCGTTAACATATTACATACAACTATGTTTTTGAAATTCAGCCAAATCTGAAAATTTTGAATTGAGAGAAAATAAACTAATGATTGAATTTCAAATACAATACTACTTTAAATTGAATTTCAATTTCTTCCTAACAACCAAAGGGATTTCCAAAGCCTCTACATTAGGAATTCAATGCACTCCTAATGCTGCCGATAAAACAGCCCCGGAATGTTTTTAAAAGACACTCACTTAAGAAATATAAAATAATTGTAAAATTTGTATTTAAAAATCCATAGGTGTTCACTTGAATACAAATCAGATATATTGAAAAATTTGTGTGTTTGCCATAATACATTTGAAAAGCATTGAATAATGGCAAGCAGCATTGCACGGTGATTGGCTAAAGAGGTGGTGGCGGGGGCGACGGTTGCCATTTGGCTGGGAGTGATAAAGGCAGCGATGATGCTATGGTGGAGATGGTAGCAGCCTTGTGGGAGGCGGTGAGGTGGTCAAGTGGCGGCTCCAATTAACTCGGGTTGTATTCTTTAAAGATAGGTACTATGAGGCTTACAAATAAAGCTAGTGGACAATCCAAGCTTTTGTTGGCAGCCTCGTGTATTTTTCTCAAGAATCCGTCACTATTTTCCGCTGATGACTAGTGGACAATCCGATCTCTGATGTACCTCCTTAAAATATCAACTTAACAAACGAAAAGAAATTAATCTAGAATTAGCAGCCAACAAAAGTCACAGGCAAATTGCATTACATTATTTTTAAGAAGATAAATTATGGCAGTAGTAAACATAATCTTTCATTATGATTTAAAATTCATCATTTCTGCCTGATGGGATCTTGTGAAAGAAATCCACAATCTTTCTGCTAATGGTATCTGCTTTGTCTGGCAGTGATTTGTTTTTCTCTTTCAGATACAAAAACATTTAATTTTTTAAAGGCATTCCACACCTCAACATTTTTATACAAGGTGTGGGCTTCAAAACTTAAAAATTTATCCCATAAAAGTTCAAGGATGCATCAACTCAAGAGACATGACAACATTATGCTTATAAAATTGCATAAATTATCTTTAGACTGAGAAAAAAGTGTTCAAGCAATGAAAGTCTTCGAAAGATTTGATTAGCTATCTCTTATTTGCTCAATTCTCTTCTCTTAGATAGAAGAAAAATAGTTGAGATCAAGGTGTAACTTTCTACTGTAGTTTGTACTTGTGTCTCAAAGATTTATCAGCAACTACCGATTCAGACAGGCTTACCTTGAAGTAAAAGAAGGATAAGATCATGGAAGTTTTTTTAAATAGTGCGAGAAAATGATATGAATACATCGAGGATAATAAATTATAATTGTAAAGAAAAAAAAGCGCATAAATAAGATAGGAAAAGAGTGAAAGCCTGAAAATTTAAATCCCTGGGTACATGTAAACTACAAAATCCATTTGAATCTCCTACTTTGTAATCTGGTAAAAACAGAGGAGTGACAACAAAATTTTCCCCCCTTTTTTACCTCAGTTGCAAAATAGAATCCAAACCCTCCTATTGATCAATGAGTCAGCATTGTAAACTCTCATCTGAATAATATAGTTTTAGAGCATCATAGTCATCATTGTAATCACAAATGTAAGAATTGTAGAAAGTAGGTAAGAATCAAGGAGGTCAAAGAGCAGCCACTGCTGCCTGACAGAGCAGTCACAGGAACCTCTAAAAAAGGAAACTCGGTTAAAGTTATGATTGCAAATCTTATTTGATTTAGATGCCTCCAGAGTAGCTGTTGGTTTGCTTTGATTCTCTTGTAATACATCTCATATTAAAAATTTTGATTTCTTTATCTCCATCTCGATTTATATGAATCTCCTGTCATCATTCTTTGTCCATGACCCATTTGATCATGTCGCTAAATGGAGCAGGTTCAGAGGTCAACAAGTAACCAAGCTATACTTCTAGGATAACCTAAAAGCCTGAATTTGGTAACCATCTTTGGTTTAAGCATCTACAAGAAATTTGTTAATCACTCGGCAATTCAAACAGCAGAACCGACATTCTATGTTTTTTTATTATTATTATTAAGGCTGAATTTGGCACCAGCCATCATAAATAAGGATGTTGATACCTTAAGATGATTCAAAATAATAAATATCCAATATCACAAGGTCTTGTTAATTAGCTCTCTATTGACTTATCAAATAATTGCATGATGCTTATTCCAGTCAGGACAGGCAATTTTGACATAATCTATCCTTCCCCTGGCTTGATTATTTCACAAATAACAATCTAGTAGCTGTGTAATAAGAAAAACTTGCCCAGTTACCCCCACTACGCTTGACGTAAACCCCTTTGATCCATACTCCTAAAATCCTGATACAGGCAACATTACTGGGGAACCTTTAACAAATATAGTTCAAACAAAATAATATAGAATAAGTAAAAATATACATATATTGCAAGCATATGCCAGCAACAAAACAAAGGTCCCGCTATTTGATGGAAAAATTGAAATTATATATCAAGTAAAAAGTACTAGCTCTCCAAAGCTGTTGATTAATGCAAGGTCGGACCCGATAAAAAAGAAAAGTAAAGTTCACAAAAGATTTTTATTTCAACCTTATTTTTGAGTTGAGCCAAAAATATTAAAATTAAGTAGAATTTCAGGCTAACTTGAGGAAATCATACTTAATTTAAGAATATTAAATTAAGAACATAAAGTGCCTATGAATTTCAATTCGACATAGAAATAGTTTTCTAATGTTACCACCACCAAATACAATTTCATGATGATGTTGTTGATATACAACGTAATAACTTGATCTAATTTAATCACTCCTCACAAAGATTTAGTTGTTGATTAAACTTAATAAATAAACAAAAACTTGTGTTGTCTCTCACTAAAAATACTATTTCCATTTTGTTTTAAAATCAAATAGGCATTTTGCTATTTTTACAAACGCGTTTTCCTTATTTTTCCTAGCACTTAAATATATTATTTGTACAATCAATGAAAAAGGAATTGATTTATTGCAGAACTTGTGTTTGGAAGAAGTTTATATGCTATCAGATATTGGATTGATTTGTAAATTAATTACAGTTAGGACTTGAGAAACACAAGATATAATTTTCTCTTGTTTCTGGTTCTTCTACACTCCACCACCTTCACAAGGCTTCAAGCCACCACAATCCCTTAAAATATTAAACCATATGCACCTCACAAAAGCACAACTCCAGTTGTCCTACTAGGGTGACCATTCCGAAAAAAAAAAAAAAAAAAAAAAAAAAAAAATAAAATAAATCTCTAACCACACATCCAATTAACCACCACTATTAATTAGCTAACATCATAAATTCAAATTTGAAGTTCTTTAAAAATTTCTATATAAAAAAAATTCATCCAATGTCATAAAATTCCATTCAAAAACCTACCACAAAGCCGTAAAAACAAACCACAAACTTCATTAGCCATTCAACAACTACAAAGCTCCGACCACCAGTCCAATAACCCTTGAAGCCTCCTAAGAATCGCTTCATAAAGTATCTTCCCTGATAGCTTCGAATATAGACATTAAAATACAATTACATTTAGGGGCATTTACATACATACCACATAATCCTTATGTCTTTACATATCTAACACCTAAACATTGATATGTACATGTAAACCACTCAAATCCTTAACATCACATCAAAAATACCATCACCGCTATCTTTTTAAAAGTGAGATACGTCTTGTAATACATAGATTTATGAACCCAAGGTGGTATAAGTGTCAATATCTAACTTTGGGTGTCAGATATGTAAATACATAAGAATTGTGTGGTATGCATGTAAATTTCCCTTAGTTAATCAACTCCTATTCACACTCTGTTCTGCAGAATAAAACTATAGTCTTCTATCAACCTCTTAAGTTTTAATGCCATCATATTATCTTAAACAATAGGCATCAACATACTATGAAGTTAAGGCTGCTACGCTCTCATGGTGCTTCAAAATCTCTAAATTTGGATGATTTTCCCTCACTTTCTTTCAAGTCATCTGAGGCATTATCCATAGTCCTTCCAAGTTCGGTTGGCCATTCTCAAGGGACTTTCATTGAAATCAAAGGCATTTTGGATTGTAATTTAGCTTCCATAAAACCATAAACTTCAATTTTACGCAAAAGAAAGCTTAATTCATTTTCATGTTAATTTTGGAAAAGCGTGCAATTCTTGCAATTGAGAATTTACTTTAAATGCTCTAAAGAGCGATTTTCCTCCCAAAGTTCATTTTTTCATTAGGCAAACCTTAATGCATGCTACTTCTCAATGCAGGTTAATAGAGAGCTTATGGCATGAATCTACTCTCATGAAATATTTGGGTCTTTTTCTTTGACTTAAAGCTTTGCAGAAAGAGTTTTCAAAATCTATTATAGATAAAATTCAGTGAAAGCTGTCTTCTTGAAAAGGTAAATCACTCTCAAAAGGAGGTTGAATCCATTTGATTGATTAAATTTTATCACTGATACTTCATAATTACTTCTTTAGGTTGCTAAAATGGGTTACTAATAAAATTCATAAATTTTAAAAAGTACAGATTCAACTTGTTTAAACTGCAAAACAATCGCATAAAAAAAATATATTAGAAGACTTGGAATCAAGAACCTTCGAATAATGAACATTTCCCTTCTCTAAATGGAACCTAAAATATATACAAGCGAAACCTAAGGCTTCACAAGCTCTAGTATCAATGGAAAGCATATGAGAAACTTTTCTATCGAAATTTGAGCTGAAATAAACTTATTTTAAGCAAGCCATTTTTAAGTAAAGCCAAACTATTGAGATTTTACTCCATTGAGATTCTAGAAATTATCAAGTTTGCATTTTTTGCATAAATTATTAACCCTAATCATCGGTTAATACATTTCATGACTTGATGATGATACCATAAGACAATACTCTTCAAATACTAAGATAATGCGAAATACACATATTAAATTACAACAGCTACATTTGAAGAAAAAAGTTATGCCATACATCTTAACCCAAAATGGATGGATGACTTTACTACAATGAACATCCACTAGAAAGAGGGTATCCATCAAACAACTTTATATTGTTTGCACTATCATGACCAAAATTGCCAAACAAATACAAGAAAAAGTTTCAGAATATAAATTAACAAATAGCTGTAACTATGAAAATGGTGGATGGGGCTATGACAGCATTGGAAGATAAATGCCCTATAAGAAAACAATAGAAATAACACGATTCTACTGTAATTTCTATGTGATAAAAAGTGTCAAACCCCGTCTGACCCTAATAGGGTGTAGCTATTAGAATCAAGATCCCAAATAGTTGGAGACAAGAGATTCATATGAGAAAACATAAGTAAAAAAGCTTGTCCTTGAGCTTCCAAAGATAAAGGTACATGAGCAACCATTTGATACCCATCAGTCTGCGTTGAAGTCCTTAAAAACTAAGGGGTATAAACAAATAGCACGCCCCTCCGCTAAAATGGGTTGGAACGCCTGTATACCTAATGTATGCAGGGTGGGTGCTCTATTCAACAATACAGGATGCCCCTGCATCACTTCTTGAAGGATTTTCCATACAATGGGTTCTTTTTCCTGAATTTTACTTTTAGCAATCTCTGTATTAGAAGCAACATCTTGTCTGAGTAGACCACTAGTCACAAATGCTTGGAAGAGCTCTACTGCTAATT